TTTCCATCTTTTCAAAAAAATTGTTTTTCAGATACATCGCTAAACTTCATTTGGCTTGCTTTTTCACATGATAACTTTATCAGCCACATACTCTATACTTAACAATTGTTAAGGTTTTCCTCTTATCTCTTTCCTTTTTATGGCTTAGGTATTTTATAGGAGAGACACCATGACATTTCATCTCAAAATTCTAACACATGCAGCTAGAAAAAAAATTCTAATTTAACCATAATATCCTAACACTAATAAAACCATATTCCTTAGTATCATAATATACATAGCTCATACAGTACTTAAATTTCAACAAAATGTCTTATTAATATTCTAATAAAGGCCTTCAGGGTGTTGGAGGCCTAGCTTAGGTGGTAAGAGTACCAGCCAAGGAGTGAAAGCAAATGTCAGATATGATCCTGGTCTTGAACAGGAAAGAAAGCAAGAAAGCAAGCACATAAGAGAGAAAGAGAGAAAGAAAGAGAAAGAAAGAGAGAGAAAGAGAGAAAGAAAGAAAGAGAAAGAAAGTAAGTGGGAGAGAGGGAGGGAGGGAGAAAGAAAGGGAGAAGGAAACAAGGAAGGAAGGAAGGAAGGAAGAAAGGAAGGAAGGAAGGAAGGAAGGAAGGAAGGAAGGAAGGAAGGAAGAAAAGAAGGAAAGAAGGAAGGAAAGAAGGAAAGAAGGAAAGAAGGGCGGGCCTTCAATTGCATTTGGTTAGTCTCTTTTAATCTGCCCATTCCTTTTATTTTCTACTTAAAACATTTATATTTGTAGAGAACTACTATCTCCCAGAATTTTTTTTTTTGGTTGGCATTGGGGCTTGATTCAGGGCTTTGTGGTTACTTAATTAGGTGCTCTTGAATCATGCCTCTGACCCTTTTTGTTTTATCTTCCAAATAAAGTCTTGCATTGTTGCTCTGCAGGCTCAAATCTACATCCTTCTGTTTCTATCTCCTGCATAGCTTGGATTACAGGTGAGAACTATCACACCCAGCTTATTGGTTATGATGGGGTCTTGCTAACTTTTTGCTTGGGCTTTAATTTATTCTAATTTATGTGTGCTAGTTCTTCTGTTGTATACTCCGAAGTATATATTGTGAAAAGCTTTTTTCTCCTACTGCTCTCAGCATGCCTCAGCCTTCTTTGGTAACTGCAGTTATAATTCCTTAGGTACTTTTTCACAAATAGTCTACTCAAACACATTGATCACTGAAAATTTAAATCCACACAACTATACTTAGAAGGGCTGCAGTTAGGAAGAACGGATGAATGTGGGTCTGATGAGGTAAGAGTTAACTGGAGATACCTTTCCCAGAAGTATCAGCATTTAAAAAGGTAGCATATTAATATTAAAAAAACAATATTAAGAATTAAGCAATATTCTTTAAAAGGCATGACTAATTAGGTTTTATAAAGCCATATTATAACAAGCACTTCTACTCTGTTACCAATTCTGCTTGTCCATAATTTTCATAGGATGTTCTGGAGTGGAACTGTAGTTGAAAGAAATTGGTGGAATAATAGGCAACATCTCTTGGGAAATTTAATTAAGAAAAGTCAACTTGCAAGTCATACTTGCAATTCCACCTATGAGGGTGTGCAGGTAGGAGGACTGAAGTCTGAGGCAATCCCTGGCAAAAACAAGAGACTCTATCTGAAAAATAGCCAAAGCAAAAAAGGGCTCATGCACAATTCAAATGCTAAAGCATCTGCCTAGCAAGGCCAAGGCCCTAAGTTCAAACCCTAGCATTACCAAAAAAGAAAAAAGAAGAGGAGAAGGAAGAGAAGGAAGAAAAGGAGAAAGAGGAATTGTGTCTCCTTCCTTACTCCTGCAAATATCCTTTTTATTCTTTCAGCATGAGAGAGTAGGAAGAAATAGGACTAGAAAGAAAGTACTGAGATTATTAACACATAATTAAGGTAGAAAGAGAATGAGGATAAAATCAACCTGACAAGGACATAAAAGAATGTGCATGTAATTTAAGTACCCCTCAGCATCTATACAAAAAGTATAAACTCAGTTGGGAGAGGTGGTTCAAGTCTTTTTTTTTTTTTTTGTCGGTTGTGGGGCCTGAACTCTGGGCTTGGGCGCTGTCCCTGAGCTCTTCATCTCAAGGTGAACCTTCTGCCACTTAAGCCACTTCCACTTCCACATTTTCTGGTGGTTAACTGGAGATAAGAGTCTCAGGGGGGCTGGGAAGGTGGCACAGTGGTAGAGCGCTTGCCTTGCATGCCTGAAGCCCTGGGTTTGATTCCTCAGCACCACATAAGCAAAAATAAAAAAGCCGGAAGTGGTGCTGTGGCTCAAGTGGTAGAGCACTCGCCTTGAGCTGAAGAGCTGAGGGACAACGCCCAGGCCCAGAGTTCAGGCCCCATGACCGGACCAAAAAAAAAAAAAATAAAGAGTCTCAGGGAAAAATAAAGAGTCTCAGGGACTCTCCTGCCCCGGCTGGCTTTGAACTGCAATCCTCAGATCTCAGCCTTCTGAGTTGCTGGGCCCTGCTTGGAGGTCTTAACTCCCCAAAAGCTAGGCATGGTGATACATTCCTATAATTCTAGCTATGTGGAAGGCCTTAAGTAGGAGGAGAGCATTAAGAGTCTAGCCCTGGGAAAAACTAGAGACTATTTGAAATAAAACTAAAGCAAGAAAGATTAGGGGCTCAAGTGGTAACACATTTGCCTGGCATGTTTGAGGCCTAGAATTCCAACCCTGGTTTTCGCCCTCCCCCCAACAAAGGACTTGAGATTTTTTAACTATAAATTAATGTATGTGTAATTAAGGACTAAAGTTTTAACCACTAATTGATGTGGTTTTCTAAGACTTGGATTTTATTTTCCTAACACGGCAAGTAAATAAGTAAATACCTGGAAAAAAAGGTATCATATAAGAATATTCTAAAGCAAAATCGTGGGATAGTTGACCATGAAAAAAGTCAATCAGAATGACTGACAAGAAAACATAGTAGAAAGAGAACAATGAAACTTTGAAACCATTACTAAAAAAAACAAAATCAAAAGAACTTAACATTTCTTCCTCAATGGTAGAGGGTATTTCACAATAATATCTCTTAATTATAAAAGGCTTGTAGAAGCAGTAGTAACATCTTGAAAAAACCCATAACATTATCTAATGATAAAAGGTAATATAATCACGGTTACTCATTCTGATAGGCCCTATCTATAGGCTCACATATCACTTTACAATTTCCATAATTTCAAAAATACCTGAGATACGGTATCCTAGGAAGAGTTTTTTTTGTTGGTTTCTTGTGGGATTTTGTTTTTTGGTTTTGATTTTGGTATTTGGAGGAAGGGTCTTACTATGTACCTAGGCTGACCTTAAACTCAATATGTACCCCCTAGGCTGGTGTTGAACTCAGAATCCTCCTGCCTCTGAATCTTGAGTACTTGGATTATAGGTGTATACCACCACATCCAGCAGGATACTTGTTCTTTAAATTTTTTTTTCTTTTCTTTTCTTTTTGTTGGTCATGGGGATTGAACTCTGGGCTTGGGCACTGTCCCTCAGCTCTTCAGCTCAAGGTAGGTGCTCTACCGCTTGTGCCACAGTGCCACTTCCAGTTTTCTAGTGGTTTACTGGAGATAAGAGTCTCACGGAGTTTCCTGCCTGGGCTGGCTTTGAACCACGATCCTCAGATCTCAGCCTCTGAGTAGCTAGGATTACAGGTGTGAGCCACCAGCACCTAGCAATTTTTTTCTTAATATATATTTTTATTTAAAGATATTGTATAGAGGGGTTACAGTTACATGAGCAAGGTAATGAATGAGTCCATTTCCTATAGAGCATCGTTACACCATATTATTCCCCTACCATCCCTTTCCTCCCCACCGTTTTTTAAAAATTTTATTGTTATTATTAAGGAGATCTCCAGAAGAGTTACCATTACCTAAGTCAGGTAATGAGTACATTTCTTTTTGGGCAATGTCATCCCTTCCTTTTCTCTTTCCATTTCCCCCTCCCATCCTGCCTACAAGTTATATAGTTCATTTTCAACATAATGTCTATGATGTGTTTGTTCAACTTTGTCCCTCCATTTCTGTGCCCTCCATTATCGCCAAAAGACAGATAAATGAGTAAGAAAAAAAAATCTCCAAGAAACAAACAAAAAACCACAAAAAAGCAAAGACAAACAATACCATCCCAGAAGAAAACACACACACATACACACACACACACACACACACACACACCCTCGTTTCCATTTCCTAGAATTCATTTCAATAAATACTATTTTAAATGGTCAGAGGCAGGGAGGATCGCACCTTTGGGTTCCTCCCAAATAAGCAGAGTATCCTCCTTTAGTTCATTGTGTGTGAATGCCTAGAGTCCTTCACAATTTATCATGTCCTGGTATACTTTAGATCTAGCTTCTGCATATGAGAGGAAAACATGTGCTGCTTATTTCTCTGAGCTTTAAGGATATGTTTTTAATAAAGATTAAAACACAATGTTAGAAATTAAATCACTTTTCCTTGAATTTTAAAGTTGGTAAATACATAATAACCTTTTAACTCACACATGCATTCACAAACATACACAAATTAGTATAATGTCAAATGATAACACATACACACACACATACCAGTCCTTCTGTTTGAACTCAAGGCCTGAGCACTATTTTGTTTTGTTTTTTCTTAGGGCTCATGCTCTATCATTTGAACCACAGCTCCACTTCTGCTTTTTTGGATACTTCTGGTTGTTAATTGGAGCTAAGAGTTTTATGAACTTTTCTGTCTGGGATGGCTTTGAAACCTGATCCTCAGATCTCAGCCTTCTGAGTAGCTATTATTACAAGTATGAGCCACTGGCACTTGACACAAATAATATTTTTATACTATTGTCATGTATTTTAATTCATTATAATGAGTTCATTCACAACAAACCTATGAGTTGTCCTTTAAATGTCTCTCTCATATAAGGCTTTACTAACATTTAATCTTAAAATCATCAGTGTTTTCTAGAATTTAAGATTATTACAATAAAACTTACCTCAGTCTTTTTACTAATGTGATCTGTAAATAAAAAAAAGAACAAGACATTATTTTTTTGTAAAAAAATAAAGTAATTGTAAGAGTTTTTAAAGTTATGAGTTTTTTCTGGCTACCTGGAGAAAAAACTCTTGGATTTGTCTGCCCAGGTTGACTTCAAACTGTAATCCTCAGATGTCAGCCCCCAGTGTAACTAGGATTATAAGTGTGAGCCACCAGTGCATAATTTTGTCTTCAAATGTTTGATGGAACGGTTTCTTCTGTATTTTACTATTCAATAATGAATGAAAATATAGTGTTTTTGTTTTTTACTTTCATCTTAATATATTTTATTAATATTCTAATATGCCATTCTAGATAAACTGAAAAGGTTGACTAATAATGTTTGTAAGCAGAAATATATTATTCTTATCCAATGTAATCCATACTTTATGTAGAAGGACATTAATACTAATAATAGGTTTTTGATACAGGGTCCCATCATGTAGAATAGGCTCCTAGAATTCATAATTCTTGACTCAGCCTCCAAGCACTGGGATTATATATATGCAACCCAATACCCAGCAATATAACATGTTTTAATCATTAAAGACCTACAAATGTTAACTTGAATTTTCACTAAATTTTAGAAAAGGGACAAATTCAGAAATACAAAAAAGAGGCTGCCAAGGTAGTTCAGTGGTAGAGCACTTGCCTTGCATGCATGAGGCCCTGGGTTTGATTCCTCAGCACCACAGAAGCAAAAAGAAAAAGGCTGGAAGTGGCGCTGTGGCTCAAGTGGTAGAGCGCTAGTCTTGAGCTGAAGAGCTGAGGGACAGAGCCCAGGACCAGAGTTCAGGCCCCATGATCAGACCCCCCCAAAAAAAAGAAATACAAAAAAGATTTTTATTGGAAATCATGGGATTTTATAAAGACTGATTTTGAATTATGTTAGCCTCTAAGTAGTTATTTCCAAACAGATTGCTATGGTTTAAATATTTATCCTCTTTGAAACTTGTGTTGAAATACAATTGTCATTAAAACACTATTAAGAGCTGAGCGCTGGTGGCTCATGCCTGTAATCCTAGCTACTGAGGTGAGATCTGAAGATCATGGTTCAAAGCCAGCCTGGGCAAGAAAGTTTGTGAGACTCCTGTCTCCAATAAACCACCAAAAAAATGGGTGTGGCGCTGTGGCTCAAGTGGTAGAGCACTAGCCTTGAGCTAAAGAAATGACGGACAGCACCCAGGCCCAGAGTTCAAGCCCCATGACTGACAAAAAAACAAAAAACCCCACCAAAAACACTATTAAGAGATACAACCTTTAGGAGGTGATAGAACTATGATGCCCCTCCCTCTCACTCCTACCCCAGAACTAGGACTGGTGCCATAAGAAAAGGGTGAATTTGGGGCTGGGAAGGTGGCTGAGGCCCTGGGTTTGATTCCTCAGCACCACAGAAACAAAAAGAAAAAGGCTGGAAGTGGCACTGTGGCTCAAGTGGTAGAACGCTAGTCTTGAGCTGAAGAGCTGAGGGAAAAGTGCCCAGGCCCAGAGTTCAGGCCCCACGACCGGACCCAAAAAAAAAAAAAAAAAGAAAAGGGTGAATTTGACACCCTCTTGCTTACCCTTTTGCCTTTTATCACATAATGAGAGAGCAAGAAGGTCCTGGACAGAGGCTAGCACCTTCATATTGAACTTCCCTCCCTCTAGAACTGTGAGTCAATAAATTTGTTTGTTAGGTCAGATAGTGGTGACTCAAGCTTGTAATCTAGATACTCATGAGGCTAAGATCTGAGAATCAAGGTTCAAAGCCAACCCTGGGCAGAAAAATCCATGAGACTCTTATCTCTAATTAACCAGAAAAAGCAGAAATGGAGGTTGTAGCTTAAGTGGTAGAACACCAGCCTTGTACAAAAGAGCCCTCAAGTGTAAGGCCCTGAGTTCAAGCCTCAGTTCTAGCAAAATAAATAAATACATACATATATACATAGTTTGTTAGAACTATCCAGTTCCAGGTGTTCTATTAGACCAGCAAAAATTGATTAAGACACATGTTTACCTCTAAAATATATTAGAAAATCATTTTTACTTTTTTTTTTTTTGTCAGTTGTGGGGCTTGAACTCTGGGCCTGGGTGCTGTCCCTCAGCTCTTCAGCTCAAGGCTAGCACTCTACCACTTAAGCCACAGTGCCACTTCCAGTTTTCTGGTGGTTTATTGAAGAGTTTCACAGACTTTCCTGCCCAGGCTGGCTTTGAACTGTGATCCTCAGATCTCAGCCTCCTGAGTAGCTAGGTTTATAGGTATGAGCCACCAGCGCCCAGCATTTTTACTTATTTTTAAAATGTTATTACTTATAAATATAAAATGATTTTTATTTTAAATAGTTCTTATATCATAACAGATATTGTACATATATTACCTTCAGATTGAAAATCTTTTAGTGATACTGTGAGAGGTTTATCCTTTCCCTGATGATTCTTTCTTTTATCTTTTTTATTCGTAACTTTTGACTGAGCTGAAGCATTATCAGCATTTTCATACTCCTAAAAAAGAATTAAGTTTGGTTTATGACTTATAAAATCAATTCATCAATAGGTAATATGTTTTTTGAAGTTTTACAGGCAAATTGGTTAAGAAAGATGGGTACAATGGAAGGAGTGACATTAATCACCCACTGATTACACATCATTGTATTTATAAACTGATTTAATTAAAACCTCTTAATAAAACTACTTAAAGGTAATTACTAAGTAAATGCAAATAAAAACGTAAAACTCAGGCCAGTCAAACTATATAAAATACTGACTTAAATGCTCAACTTCTCACAACTTTAAACAAGTTTAAACTTTCATCTTTTACTTAAAACATTAAAATAAAGTACATCTTATTCTATAACCCCCTTATTGTTCTTTCTTCCTTTTAGGACCAAATTTTCATTCTCACTCTACTGAAATCTGGATTTGTTTTCTAAATTAAAGCCATTTTTTTCTGCTAACTCTTGGTTTACACTTTATATTTCTGACAACTACTAAATCATTTTTGCTGGTTTTATTTCCCAACTCTCTTCTTTAAAATGTAACTGCGGGACTACAGAAATGGTCCAGTGGTTGAGCACCACCCTAGCAAGGACTAGGCCTTAAATTCTAATTTCAATCCACCCCACCCCCATCTACAAAAGTAGCTGCTGTCTACCAATATCTCAGTCTTCACCTATTCTTCTTAGGCTTTCTTCAGTCTCAACATGTAAAGTTCCAACTCAGTTGGAATGGTCAACAAGCATTTTCAATACTATATGTAATTTATCTTTCCATCAAACTACTGCTTCCCTGCTCAATCTTCTACTAAATTCCTTGGTAGGTCACTATACAACTTTCAAAGCCAGAACTCTCATATTATTATCATGAATCTCCTTGCCTACTCTTCATATATGTTATATAAAAATAGTTATTAAATCAATTACTAGATCTTACTGAATTTATCACAAAGATTTCTAAAATCTATTCTATTTTCCTAGTACTTTCTGTCATTTCCCTATTTCTTTTGTTTGGTCATTAAAACAATATCTAATTTTAGTCTCTCAGACCACCTTTTATACTGTTATAGCATGAATTTTAAAATAAAAACCTAAAATCAATCAAAATTAAAAAACCCAATAGCTTTCTGTCAACAGATATATAAGACCCAACCTTCTTAGCACAGTACATGAACTTCTTTATATTCTATCCATCTGTCTGAAACTCCAGTAAGTTTAGGTCCCAAAATTATATGTTCTCAAATATGTTGTATTCTATCGCATACATATATATCTTGCATGCTTGATACATTGTCTCTCAGAAAGGCTGTTTTCCTCTTTTTCATTTGTGAACTTTCAACAAAGCTAAAAGCTTTTAAGAAATCTTTTCTGGGGGGTGGGAAGGCGGCTCAGTGGTAGAGCGCTTGCCTTGCATGACTGAGGCCCTGGGTTCGATTCCCCAGCACCATATAAGCAAAAAGAAAAAAAGCTGGAAGTGGTGCTGTGGCTCAAGTGGTAGAGTGCTAGCCTTGAGCTGAAGAGCTGAGGGACAGCGCCCAGGCCCAGAGTTCAGGCTCCACGACCAGACCCCCGCTCCCCACCCCCCCCCAAAAAAAGAAAGAAATCTTTTCTGAAAACTCATCTCTATCTAAGGTTCTGAGAAGTCTTACATTTTTGCCTTAATTCCCACTCTACTAAGACTACATTTACATGTATCAGTACTATGTACTAGAATTACATGCATGTTGCCCTCTGCTAAACTAAGCTGAGAATATCTTTTTCTTTGTATTATGTGTCTACCACATTTTGACTAGTAATCACATTTTAACTAGTAATTTGCTGAATGTATGATCGAAGATTTAAAAAACAGCATCTCCAACTTATGATATGAGAAAATCCTTAGCTAAAATAATTATGTTATTAGACTATTGACTTAGAACCTAGAGACTAACGATAATGTAATCACATAAAACTGGCTAATGTATACAAAAGGAGTTCCTCCTTTTCTTAATAATCTTTTTTTGTCTAATAAAACCAATAGTGCTTTTTAGGTATTGGCCCTATTGACTGTAACAAGAAAATTGTCTGCATGATATTTTACCGACACCATTCATTTTATTCTCCCTCTAAGAATATAGCTAACCTTTTTAGTTTTGGAATCTTAACATGTATCTAACAACAAATTATTATAGCATGATATCTGATATTCTATTAGACTAAAAAAATCTTATTGAGAAACACAGGAAGACCTTTCAAGTATAACCTGAAAGTGTATTTAAACAATGTACTCATAAAGTAAGCTGTATCCATTTTTGTAACTGCTTACTTTTTTATCAAAATGGACACATAATAATAAAGGTTATCATTAGTCTTGATTCCCGGAATAACAGGGAACATATATATTATACATATGCACTTCACTGACAACTTTTAAACTTTTCCATTGAGAAGTAGAAAAATCATCTGTGAATTTTCATTTTCCTTTCTTCTTAAAGACATTAATGTGCAGGGGCTGGGAATGTGGATAGTAGAGTGCTTGCCTAGCATGCATGAAACCCTGGGTTCAATTCCTAAGTACCACATAAACAGAAAAAAAAGCTGGAAGTGGTGCTGTGGCTCAAATGATAGAATGTGAGCTTTGAGCAAAAGAAGCTCAGGAACAGTGCCTAGGCCCTGAGTTCAAGCTCCAGGACTGGCCAAAAAAAAAAAAAAAGACATTAATGACAGGGCCAAAATAGCCTTAAACATAAAAGGGACCATCTATGTCTAACCACTGAGTCATAACAAGTTGAATAAATTTTGTAAGCAAAAAAACACAAATGAGGCTGGATGCCAGTAGCTCACACTTGTAATCCTAGCTACTCAGGAGGCTGAGATCTAAGGATCATAGTTCAAAGCCAGCCTGGGCAGGAAAGTCTGTGAGCCTCTTATCTCCAATAAACCACTCAGAAAACTGTAAATGGCACTGTGGCTCAAGTGGTGAGTGCTAGCCTTGAACTGAAGAGCTGAGGGACAGCACCCAGGCCCAGAGATCAAACCCCACAATCGACAAAAAAAAAAACAAACCCCAAAACCAATAAATGTCAAGGACTACAATATCTAATAGTATGAATATAATCAATGTTCAAACAATTTAAATATATAAACAATATCAACATTACTTTTTACTTTTATATTTCTAATTTGTAAAATGCATTTCAATACACAGGCTGCTATCACAGCTCAGTGATAAATGCTGAGTTTGCAAGGCCAAAGTATCAGAAATAGCCTTTTATTTGCTTTACTGTAGTATTTCTCTGGCAAAGTCTCTTATTTGATGGCAGTGTACTCCAGTACTCACTTAAGAGCTTGAATCCAATCCAGAGCCACATATATGCTAAACATATATCCTACCACTGACTATACCCCCAGCATCTTTATATCTACTTATTTTCTAAAAACTTAAATAAATTTAAATTTAAAATTTACTTAAAATTTACATAAATCACTGTGAATTTTACTCCTCTTTCAATCAGATTGGGTGGAGAAATTCTAAACATTCTGAATCATCAGATTAAAAACTCAGCCTACTTTTCTCTTCTCTCAAACAAGGAATCCTATTATGAAAAGTTCCTGACAATATTTTGTTACAATAATGAATTTTTACAATAAACCCATTTTTTCAGTGCTGCAAATCAGCCAGAACCTGACACATTCCAGGTAAGCACTCTACCACTGAAGTCCCAAAGGAAAAGGTTTATGTGAAACTTAGGAAGATTAGTTCTAACCTTGGACTACCTAAGAACTTTAAAAATATCGAAGTCAATAAACACACAAATACCTTTTTGTGCTCTTCATATTCTAATTTACTTAGCAACAATGCCTTCTCAAGATCTGCTTCAAACATTTCAGATGTCAGCTAAAAAAAAAGGTTTCACAATACAGGCAATATTACACCACAGTAGCAAAATAACCATGATGTGATAATATGTACTGGAAAAATAAAACAAATATGTTAAAAAATATTTCAGATCTTCAAAGTTATTTAACCATGCGATATTAGGGAATCCTGTATTTTTTAGAATATTCCAAAGCACAAGCTTACACTTTTGAAATTTCTGTTTTTTGTTGTTTGGCAGTGCTACGTTTGAACTCCTTAGGTTAGGCAGGCCTCTTTCCACTGAGTCATACCTCCAGCCCTACTTTCTGATGGTTGTTTTAGAAATAGGGGCATGATTCACATATGTTAGGATTCTCAGTAGCAAGGATGACAGGTATACAACCAACTACATCCAGTAGTTTATGAGTTTGTATTCATGTTTGATTATAACAGTAGTTTTAAGTTTATATTCATGTTTGATTCTAACTGTAGCAGTTTATATTCAGCAAAAGTAATGGAACCTATGGCTTTACATGATAGGCAAGAATTTTTTTTTTTTTTTTTGTCGGTCACAGGGCTTGAACTCTGGGCTTGGGCACTGTCCTTGCACCCTTCAGCTCAAGGCAAGAGCTCTACCGCTTGAGCCTCAGTGTCACTCCCAGTTTTTTAGTGGTTTATTGGAGATAAGAGTCTCACAGAATTTCCTGCCTAGGCTGGCTTTGAACTGTGATCCTCAGATCTCAGCCTCCCGAGTAGCTAGGATTATAGGCGTGAGCCACCAGCGCTGGGCTGATAGGCGAGAATTTTATCACTGAGCTATATCACAGGTCCATTAAATTTACTTGTGATATTGGGGATTGAATATACTAGTAAAGTGTTCTACCACTTGAGCCATTCCTCCATCTCTTTCACTTGTGCATTTTTTGGGGGAGCAGGAAAACAAGTTCTTGTTGACTGTGCCTATGACAGCCTTGAAGTCACAATCGTTCTGTCTTTGCCTCTCAAGAAAATGGGATACTAGGGGTGCATCACCATGCCCAGCCAAATTTATTTTTTCATTATTAACACAAACTACTGTACAAGTAAGTAAATACAATTTAAATTTAAACTTTCTAAAACTAGATAATTCTGGGTACTGGTGGCTTACACGTATAATCCTAGCTACTCAGAAGGCAGAGATCTCGACTGCAGTCCAAAGCCAGCTCAGGCAGAAAAGTCCACGAGAGTCTTATCTCCAATGAACCAATAAGAAGCTGGAAGTGGAGGTTGGCTCAAATGGTAGAGTACCAGCCTTGAGTGAAAAAACATGAAGCCCTGAATTCAGGCCTCAGTACTGACATGCACATGTGTGCACAGGCACACACATATACACATATAAGTTTAGGGGAAAAATAACTCCCTTTTTTGTATATCACAGAATAGTAGAAAGTAAGATGGTTTAGGTAGGGTAAAATCAAGTTACACTCCTTGAAATTTAGGGATTTAGGCTGGGCACGGGTAGCTCACGCCTGTTATCCTAGCCCAGACAAGAAAATCTTTAAGACACTCATCTCCACTTTAAGACACTCATCTCCATTTTTTCACCATAAACTGAAAAGTGGAATTGTGCTTCAAGTGGTAGAGAACTAGCCTTGAGCACAAAAGCTAGACCACACACACACACACACACACACACACACACACACACACACACACACACACACACACACACACACACACACACACACACACACACACACACACACACGTTTAAATCCTAACTACTCAAGAAGCTGAGAGATCTGGGGATTGCAGTTTGGAACCAGCCAGGATAGGAAGTCCACAACACTACGGAAGTGGAGCTATGGCAAGTGGTAAGAGTACTAGCCTTGAGCAAAAGAGCACAGGGGCAGCACTCAGATTCTGAGTTCAAGCTCCAAAAAAAAGATTTATTATTTCATGTATATCATATATTCTGATACTCCACTACGCTAGTGAACAAGAGAACAGATTAAGAGGAATACCAATATAAGGAAGTTTTAAGATATACACAAGAATGTAATCCAAAACCAATGTGTCTAGGTAAGTCACCAAGACCAAAAAACAGCAGTGAAAGCTAAGTACCAGTGGTTTACACCTATAATCCTAGCATGAGGAGGCTGAGATTTGAAAGACCAGCTCAAGCATGTAAGTCTCCAAGACTACAACTTCAAAATAACCAGCAAAAGAAAACCAGAAGTGGCGCTGTGGCTCAAGTGGTAGAGCCCTCGCCTTGAGTTGAAGAGCTGAGGGATAGCACCCAGGCCCAGAGTTCAAGCCCCACGATTGACAAAAAACATAAACAAAATAACCATAAAGCCAAGCTGGCAGCATGGCTGAAGTAGCTGAGCAAGTAAAAGGCCCTGAGTTCAAACCTTGGTACTGGCAAATATATATTTACACATTGAAGAATGTAACGAAAGCTATCTCATAAGGATTTAGCAGGTTTTGGAATACTCATTAAATATGAAATACTAAAAAATCAAAGACTCAAAGAAAAACAAGAAGAACCATAACAGAAGAACCATGGCATATGACAAGAAACATGAGTTCAAATTCTCTTAATTCTCTATCATAATAGCTTTAAACATACTTGTTAGTCTAATCAGTAGGTATATATAAAGAACTAGATACAATGGAGGGGGTAACAATGTTCAAGAGGAAGTGTACCCATTACCTCACTCATGTAACTGTAACTCTCTGTATAGTATCTTTACAATAATAAAAAAAAAGAACTAGATAGACTAGGGCTCTAATAAGCCTTAAGCAATAAAATATGAATAAAATCATGATTTTCAGAACAAATCTTTTTTTTTTTTTTGGGGGGGTCCGGTAGTGGGGCCTGAACTCTGGGCCTGGGCGCTGTCCCTCAGCTCTTCAGCTCAAGGCTAGCGCTCTACCACTTGAGCCACAGCACCACTTCCGGCTTTTTCTTTTTGCTTATGTGGTGCTGAGGAATCGAACCCAGGGTCTCAGGCATGCAAGGCAAGTGCTCTACCACTGAGCCACCTTCTCAGCCCCAGAACAAATCTTATATAGTACTTCTTGACTTAATCATTGCATTAAATCAACATTAAACCCATCTTAAGTTGAAAAACATCATGATACACTTAATATACCTAATCTATTGACCTACTAAATGTAATAGTTTACCCTAGCCTACACTGAACATACTCTGAACACTTATATTATTTTAGAGTTAACACTTTCATTATCCTAGAGTTGGACACAACTGACATGTGCCTCTTTACTTGACTCCCTTCATTGACTCCCATTGCCCATCTAAGTAATGAAACACTTTTATTGGAGTAGGGAACCCTTTTCTGTTGAGGGCCATCTAGACATCTATGAAACCATTATAGCCCATACAAAATTATTAATATAGGCAGATATACCTCAGGCAATGGACAAGGAGCCTATATGCCTGTCACGTCATGTACCAAATCATTTTTCAGCCTTTATAGGGCCTCTGGGCCAGATATACCCTACTCCTGTATGCAAACCTACAGCAAACCCAAAGGGTTTGTGATCAGAGTATAAAGAACTAATGAGAGCTCTCTAGGATGGTAAATATTTTGGAACCAGATGTAAAAATACTAATTGTAGCTGGATGTTGGTGGCTCATGCCTGTAATCCTAGCTACTTAGAAGGCTGAGTCTGAAGATCACAGTTCAAAGTCTGGGCAGAAAAATCCTCGTGAGACTTATCTCCAATTAACTAATCAAAAACTGGAAGTGTTGCTGTGGCTCAAGTGGGTAGAGTGCTAGCCTTGAGCACAAAGAGGCTCAAAGATGGCATCCAGGCCCTGAGTTCAAGCCCCACAACTGACAAAAAAAACCAACAACAACTAATTGTATGCTTTAATAATACCCTAACAATTTTATCTATTTAAATCTAAAATATCAAATAGAAAACAACACAGTTTTGAACGTTCTCAACACAAAGAAATGATGTTTCCTGTGATATGCCAGTAATATAATAGTGCACATTATACACAATCACTGAAATATTGCACTATACTGCCTTAATATGTACAATATGCCATTTTAAAATTATGTGTGTGTGTATGGCATTGAAGACATCTAATACATGCAGCCAGCTGATTAACCATAATAGGAGTAATATGTGTGGTCCTCCAGTAATTTTTCAAAGTGTAAATCATCTTTTCCTAATTTGGAAAGCAGAATTATTTTCCAAGAATTCTTATTATAACATTATGATTTTAGAAGATGTCTACAAAAACCGTATACAGTGGCTTTTCATGCTAAAAAAAAAACAAACACATTTTGTTCATCTCGGCTAAGTTATTTAAGTTTTATTTTGGGGGTGGTACTGAGTCTTGTGCTTACTAGGCAGGTACTCTACCACTTAAGTGACACTACCAGCCCTTTTTAAGTCTTTTTAGTGTTGATTTTACTTGCCTAAATTTTTGTTATATGTGTTATTGTATCTCTAAGTAATAAAAATTGTCCAATGAGTTGTTGAAGGGTTAAAAATGGTAATGAAAAAGCCATAAATAATCCAACTTATAAAAATAAATTTAGGGCTGGGAAGGTGGCTCAGTGGTAGAGCACTTGCCTTGCATGCATAAGGCCCTGGGTTCGACTCCCCAGCACCACATAAGCAAAAAGAAAAAAGCCGGAAGTGGCTCTGTGGCTCAAGTGGTAGATCGCTAGCCTTGAGCTGAAGAGCTGAGGGACAGCGCCCAGGCCCAGAGTTCAGGCCCCATGACTGGACCCCCCGCCCCCAAAATAAAAAATAAATTTAAAATAGGAATTAACACAATGAATTTAGAATATAAATTTGTCTGCTATAAAGTGATGTCACATAAACAGGTGAAAAGAAATATTATAAATAGAAAATTAAGATAATGAATATTTGAGATGTTCATTTATCAAGTCATACATCCATGTGCTCCTAGCCACCTGCTACAAAACCTGATCATACTAGTGGCCTGAAGACATAATTACTTTTGTTCCATTTTGTAATAATGCCAGTAACCTATAGAAGTCTTTTTAAGACAAGTATGGGGTAATGCTTTCTAACACAAAAGCAATGAATTTTGTTGTTAAAGAATTGAAAACACACTGGCTGACACCTGTAGTCTAAGCTACTCAGGATGCAGCAACCAGAGAACTGCTGTTTGGGGCCAGCCCAGGCAAAAAGAGATATACCTTCATCTGAATAAAACAAGCAGACTGAGTATGCTTTTGTCCTAAGAGATAAGGAGACAGAAGATAAGGAAGAACCAAAGTTTAAGGCTGGCCCAGGCAAAAAACAAAACAAAACAAAAACCAAGACCCTATCTGAAAAATAACCTAAAAAGCAAAAGGGGCTTTTAGCATGCCTCAAGTGGTAGAGCATGTATGTAGCAAGCACAGGGTTCTGAACTCCAACACCAATACCACCCTCTACAAAATGGCCCAAAATAGTGTTCATTTGAAGCTGCATTCCTTAATAGGGAAAAGAGGTACATGTCAAACCATTTTTGCTAAAGGACTTTATTATACCAGTTGTGAAGTTAACATTAAGTATCATGTTTACAAAACTAGAACAAGCTATTAAGACTTCTATCACTGGAGAATACCATGTGAGAAAGAAATTGCTATTGTGTGCATGCTAGCAGACACTTCACTTAAGAGTGGGATAAAATCAGAGTTGAAACCCTAGTACCAGCAAAACAAAAAGTTCACTGGAATAAATAGTAATGTATTATGAATAAAAAAGGTGAAACATATAGATATTTAGTCAACAGTTACTGATGAACAATGTCTCTTAATTTTGATTTAATATTAAATTAGTAAAAATTAGGAATATAATGAAAACAATGGCTTATGTATCATCTTAAAAGCTTTACTGTGATATAATGCACATTTTGGGGGGGATAGTACTGGAGTTTGAACTCAGGGCCTTACACTTGTACCAGTCTTGTTCCAGTCGCTTATTCAACTGATGCTCTATTCCTTGAGCTACACTTACAGCCCTGCTTTTTGCTGGTTAATTGGAGATGAGGTCTTGAGAATTTTTCTGCCCAAGCTGACTCAAATTTTTATCCTCTACGTTCAGCCTCCTGTGTAGCTAGGAGCCACTGGAGCCCAGCTACATATCAATATATATCATATACCACATGAAACCCACCCCATTCAAATGTAAAACAGACTTCTAATATACATATATCTATGCAAAGATGAGGAAGGAATAATACTATTTTCCCACAATGATGCATTACAGACACAAAGTTATGAAATGAAAAATGAGTCATTTTTTGTTGTTGTTGTTGGTTGTAGGGCTTAGAACTCAGGGTCTGGGCACTGTCCTTGAGCCTCTTTGTGCTCAAGGCTAGTGTTCTACCACTTGAGCCCCAGTGCCACTTCTGGGTTGAATGGTTAATTGGAGATGAGAGTTTCTCAGGGACTTTTCTGCTGGGCTGGCTTCAAACAGTGATTCTCAGATCTCAGCTTCCTGAGTAGCTAGGTTTACAGGTATGAGCCCCAGTTCCCAGCTAAATGAAAAATGAGTATTTCTTGACTAATACCAGCCATGAGAGAAAAGGCTAACAAAGAACTTCAGGCTAAAGTTCAAGCCTCAATACTGGCACCAAAAAATAAAGACAGAGGAAGAAGGAAAAGAAGGCGGGGAGGGGGGGAGGAAGGAGCAGAGGAAATAGAGAGGAAAAGGGAGGCGAGAGAGAGAGGGGAAGAAAAGAAAAAAGGTAAGCAAGTATCTTTTCAAAGCCTTTTCCCTCTATTATAATGCTAGGAATAGAAACCCAGGCTTTGTACAACCTGGCAGGTGCTCTAACCACTGAGATTTTATCTCCAGCCCAAATTCTTTTGAAGCAAAATTATCACTAGATATTTTTAATACCAGGCCTCTGGTATTAAAAAATTTTAAGACATTTTGGAGTATTTAACCATAGTTCTCCACTATAATATCATTCCATTTGTAAAAAGGCAGAGGAATTAACAAAATGAAATATAGGAAAATAGGGTTGTAGCTCAAGAGTGTGTACTTAGCCTACTGGACATCCTAGATTCAATTCTCAGCATACACACACACACACACACACACACACACACACACAGACACAGACACAGACACACACACACACACACACACTACTTACAACTTCTTAAATGAAATATAGGAAAATAGGGTTGTAGCTCAAGAGTGTGTACTTAGCATACTGGACATCCTAGATTCAATTCTCAGCATACACACACACACACACACACACACACACACACTACTTACAACTTCTTAAATGAAATATAGGAAAATAGGGTTGTAGCTCAAGAGTGTGTACTTAGCATACTGGACATCCTAGATTCAATTCTCAGCGCGAACACACACACACACACACACACACACACACACACACACACACACACACACACACACACACACACACACACACACACACACACACACACACACACACACACACACACACACACACACACACACACTACTTACAACTTCTTTAAATTGCCAAAATCAATGTAAATAATCAATGTAGAAGGTGATTTTCTAGATTAAAAAATTGAATTATTCAATACAAACTGAGGAGCATTTACAAAATACTCCTTACAAATTGCTCCTCAGAATAGTGGTGACATGGATTTGAATGCTCTACTATCTGAAAAATCCATCAACTCACTGAGCAACAAAGGAGAGCAACTTTACTTAGCTGTACCTGTTCATCTCTTTGTCTCCACTCTTGCCAGTTTTCTTCTCGTGACTCCTTCTGTCCTGGGTTTGACGATGAAAGCTCATGTTGAGCATTACAAATGGCATGAGAGGATTTTTGGGGAATTTTCTTAAAAGCTAGATTCCTGAGCTATAAAACATATTAAAAATTCAGTTAATAAATCTAATGATTTGTTAAAATTGGTATTTTTAAAATATTTTGCTGACTTAGGTACCTAAAATAGGTTTGAAGTTTTTGTTTTTTATTAATTTTGAGAACAGAATCTTACAATATTTCTGAGGCTGGCCTTGAACACTTGGGCTCAAATGTACCTGTCCCACTTCGGTCTCCTAAATAACTAGAACTATAAGTGTTTTATCATTGTGCCAAGCTTTTTTTTTTTTTTGGGGGGGGGGGGTGGTCCGGTCGTGGGGCCTGAACTCTGGGCCTGGGCGCTGTCCCTCAGCTCTTCAGCTCAAGGCTAGCGCTCTACCACTTGAGCCACAGCGCCACTTCCAGCTTTTTTCTTTTTTGCTTATGTGGTACTGAGGAATCGAACCCAGGGCCTCATGCATACAAAGCAAGTGCTCTACCACTGAGCCACCTTCCCAGCCCCCAAGCTTGTTTTTTTAAACTCTTCTTTCCCCTTTCCTACTCTCCTTTGCTGTCACTTTCTGTCCTTTTCCCTCTTCTTCCTTCCTCCCATCCATTTACCTTCCCCTTCTCCCTTTTCTTCTCTCTTCTCCTCTTTTTCCTTTTCCATTTTATTCTTTTGGTTTTAGAGGAATAGCACTTTTCTATGCAGCCCAGGCTACCCTGAAACTCACAATCCTCCTACCTTAGTTTCTGACTGCTGGGATTACATGGTGTGTTATCACCATTGCCAGTCTATTTTAAACTTTTTAGAATGAAGACACAAGCTTCTATAGTAAACAAAATAAGACATTTTCAAAAATATTCTCTACTACATTTGACTTTTAAGTACCATACATTTTTATCCCTTCATTCAAGTAATACTGAGTACCTATGGACCAGATACAATGAATATGTGGGTGAACAAGATAGTTCTTGCTATGATGTTAACAGGAAAGCAGACAACATAATTATAATTGCTACCTCATTTGCTTCACTCTGTTGCTGTTCCTTCTTTTTTCTTCTTTTCTCTCTCTTTTTCTCATTTGTAGTTGATTTGTTTCCCAGAGTTTGAGACTTTCCAGTATTACGACCTTTGCCTTTTCCAGGCTCAGAATCAGAACCACTGCCACTGTCTACTTGTAACAGGGCAAAACGAGAAGCAGTGGTGAGAACAGAGCTAATGACTGCTGAGGCCATGGTAGAGTATTCTTTTAAAATACTTCTATTAAGTTCTGTAGGAGGAAGATAAGGAGACATATGAATAGACATGCTTAGTAGAAATACCTTTATATAAAAACCACTTTTTTGGTGGTACAAGAGGTTCAACTTAGGGCGGCATGCTTACCACTTCACTAACCCACCAGTCCTTTGCTTTTTAATATTTTTATTTCTTATCTTCAAGTGATTGTACAAGGGGGTTATAATTTAACATTTATATGTATAGTGTATCTTGATCCCTTCTTTCATCATTCTCCCCATTTCATCTGCTCTTTCCTCTACCAGTCTGGTTTAGATAGGGTTTCATGCCTTGGACTACTCCACCTCCCAAGTACTTGAGATTACAGACATGTACCACTACACCCTGTTTATAAAGCCTATTTCTCCTGACATCAGATACAGTAGTATTTGGATGCATGCATACTCAAAGTTCCATTGGCAGTAACATACTTTATAACTTAACATTATAAAATTATTCAAAATAAAAGTGATATTGATTTTTCCCAGTTAACTACTGCAATACTTATCAATATGTTTTTCTGTATGATTTTCCTCTTCTTTAACTACTTCTGTATTATACATACTTACAGGAAAAATATGGAGATATGCATTTTCCATTGCATACAAAAAGATCCTTAGTTCAACATCATGTGTATCTCTTAACTTCCCAGAAAAAATTTTGTAAGTAGAGATAAGCATTCTTATATTCAAAATTTGACAGACTGTGAATTAACAATTTAAACAGAGTTTAAATTTCTGTAACAAAAATTCTTCAAAATCACTTCCTACATTCAGTTCACTAGTCCATGTGCCTAGTACCATTCCAAGCATATTACTGGAGGTAATATTATCCTGAATTTTGTATAACTTACTCCTTTGCTAATCTTACACAGCTGTTCAACTACCACTAGATTTAACTGTTGGGATTATAAACTGCAAGTGGTAGCACCATTACTGTTTGGAAATACTCTTTATCCTTCCCTGAAGTATCACTCTCAGTTGAAAGCAGAAATGACCACATGACTTACTTTACCCAGTGATAAACAACTTTAAAAAGCTTTCAAAGTCAGTGGTTTGCTATGTTTGTCTTTCTTTGCTTTTGTGATTATGAAAGAATATGTTGAGATGGGGGTCTCTATTAGGCCTATCTGAGAGAATTCTGAAACTACAATGAACAAGCCCTTTACTAACTGATGTAGCTTGAGCAAGAAAGAAATGGTTTTGGGATTTGTCAGGTTGTTACTGAAGTATAATTTGGCTTGTGACATATTCTTTTCCATCATAGGAGACTGATTTTCCAAATTACAGATTTTGTATTTAGGTTGTCATGAATGTGTTAAATGTCTACTCTAAAACATCTCACCAAAGGCAACAAACATTTTCTTTCAGTTGCATAAGGTAGAGATTCCTTGACGATATGACCTCAAAGTTTCTTTCCGGCCTTCAGAAACCAGGAAAACCCTGAATAAGTCACTGCCTCTAGTCTAGTCACCTGATGCAAGGAACTTCCCCTAGTACTTGTCTACGAGTAGCTCCTGCACATGCTGCTCTGCAGCTGTGACCAGGCAAGTGTTCCACCTCCAGAAATACACTGCTGCCATCACCACAGGGCCGTAGGCCAGAGGAACTGTGAGAAAATTAATATTCCTGGTGCCCAAAAGAGCAAGGCACACAGTAGAAAGAACAGAATGTCAGAAGTAGGGGAGCCCAAAATCTCCTGGTTAACAAAGTTCTAAGCCATGACCTTAAATTTCTATTAGTATTTCCACCATATTTGTCAGCATCATGCTCTTGTGGTAGCATAAAATCTAGCTGCAAAATAACTCTAAAAACAACAAATATACTTTCTACTAGGGCTTAATCATTATTTTGAAATGCTTTAAGTCAGAAAATCCAACTGAATTTGAAATCCTTTCATTTTACTACAAGAAATTTTGTTTTACATTTTTGATAAAGAGCTTTATGAGAGGGGAGGGGAGGGGGAGTGTGTGTGTGTGTGCGTGCGTGCGCGCGCGTGCGCCAGTACTAGGTTTGGACTTAGGGGCCTGAATGCTGTCCCTAAGCTTTCTGGATTAAGGTTGGTTCTACCACTTGAGTGCCACACCACTACTTTTTTGGTGGTTAATTGGAAATAAGAGATTGACAAACTGGGCTGCTTTGAACCATAATCCTCAGATCTTGGCCTTCTGAGTACTAAGATTAAAGGTGTGAATCACCAGTGCTTGGCTAAGCTTTTAGATTTTTAAAAAGAATTTCAACAGTTAAAAATTACTGAATACTTAAGACAACAAAATGGTTTGTTTTTATTACCTACTCATACAAACAAAATTTTAAGACACACTCAATATGAAGAAATCATCTAGTCTACATCAGGAACTGTTATTTCATAGACAAATTTGATACTTAAAATTTATATACAATGAATCAAGCATAACTTTCTTCTTAGAAATACTGAAAAGGACTTTGAAGTTTTATATCAACATTTAGTGTCTGTCCTAATACCGTACATTGTTTTATATTCTCTGTATACTATTTTTTAAATGCAGTATTTATTTCTTTCCATCAGTTCTTTTTTTGGGGGGAGGGGGGATCATGGGGTTTGAACTCAGAGCCTGGGCACTGTCCCTAAACTCTTTTTTTTTTTTTTTTGGGGTCCGGTCATGGGGCCTGAACTCTGGGCCTGGGTGCTGTCCCTCAGCTCTTCAGCTCAAGGCTAGCGCTCTACCACTTGAGCCACAGCGCCACTTCCACTTTTTTCTTTTTGCTTATGTGGTGCTGGGGAATCGAACCCAGGGCCTCAGGCATGCAAGGCAAGCAAGCACTCTACCACTGAGCCACCTTCCCAGCCATCCCTAAACTCTTTTACTCAAGGCTATCACTCTATCACTTTAAGCCACAAGCCACTTGCTATATATAACTCTACCACTTTGAGCCACAATGCCTCTTCAGCTTTTCTGGTAGTTAGTTGGGGATTCCTTGACTTTCCTGCCCACGTTGGCTTTGAACTGTGATCCTCAGATCAGTCTCCCAAGTAGCTAGGATTACAGGTGTGAGCCACCAGTACCTGGCTTCCATCCAGTTCTATATAGACACTTATAGCTCTCCTTCCAATTTTAATTAAACCCAATTTATTACTTACCACGAACTACTATTTCCCCTGTAAAATAGGTCCACTGAGTTGTGAAATCTGAATAAAACAATATATGTAAAATGCTAAGCACAGTAAGTGGTACAGCATAAGCACATCAAAATAACCATCTGTGAGTATTCTATTATTTGATTGAAATGTGTCTTGCATGCATTAAATGTTCATAAATGTCTAAAACATCCTCAGAGGTACAGGATCTGGCACAATGAATTTGGAATGTAATTAAGTATATTTGATTCCATTGCAAAAAATGTTTTGAAACCCAAACCAACATCCAACCCATCTAGAAACTAATCCTTTAATATTTGACATAAAAGAAAAAAGTTTCAGCTGGATGCCTGTAATCCTAGCTACTCAGGAGACTGAGATCTGAGGATCAAGGTTCAAAGTCAGCCTGGGCAATAAAGTCCATAAGACTCTTATCTTCAATAAACTACCAGAAAACTGGAAGTGGCACTGTGGCTCAAGTAGTAGAGGGCTTGCCTTGAGTTGAAGAGCTCAGGTACAGCACCCAGGCCCAGAGTTCAAGCCCTATGACCGACAAAAAAATAAAAATAAAAATAGCAAATAGCATAAAGACTGACATACAAGCCAATGTAACAGAATTAAGAACCCTGAAACAAATCCTCGTTATCTAAAATAATATCAAGACTCCACAACAGGAAAAAGAAAGTCTCTTCAACAAATGGTGTTGAGAAAATAGGATACTTGCATACAAAGAATGAAAATGCATCTTATCTATACTATACGGATAACTTCACAACTTCTGCTCTTTAAACACAGTTAAGGCTATAAAAAGAGGGTTGAGAAAAGTGATAGAGTGCTTGCCTACTGAGCATGACATCTGGAGTTCAAATCTCAGTATTAGCTAGCAAACAAACAAACAAACAAACAAAAAACACAGCCAGGCGCTGGTGGTTCACGCCTGTAATCCTAGCTACTCAGGAGGCTGAGATCTGAGGATCGCGGTTCAAAGCCAGCCCAGTCAGGAGAGAACGTGAGACTCCTATCTCCAATAAACCACCAGAAAACCGGAAGTGGCGCTGTAGCTCAAGTGGTAGAGCGCTTGCCTTGAGCTGAAGAGCTGAGGGACAGCGCCCAGGCCCAGAGTTCAAGCCCCACGGCCGACCAAAAACAAACAAAAAACATAGCCAGCGCGCCAGTAGCTCATATCTGTAACCCTAGCTACTCTGGAGGCTGAGATCTAAGGAGCACAGTGGTGGTGAATTGGAGATAAGAATCTCATGGACTTTCACAATCCAAGAACTCCTTCGTGCCTTTTTTTAAAACCTTGCAAGACATCAGATTTTTGAAAATACTACTTTATGCCAGGCATGGTGGCTCACTCCTGTAATCTCAGCAATTTGAGAGGAAGAGATCTAGAGGATCTCCATCTGAGGCCAACCCAGGCAAAGAGTTAGTTAAGACCTCTAACTCAGAAAATAAGCCAGTCATAATGGTGCACTCATGTGATCCCAGATGCAAGGGATGCCTGAGTTAAGAGACTCCTAGTCAAGGCCAGCCAATGACAAAATTGTGAAATCCTATCTAAAAAGTAACCCAAAGCAAAAAGGATTACAAGTGTCCCTTAAATGGCAGAGCATCTGATGCAATATCCCCCCCTACAAATATAACTAATAATAAAACATATAAAGGACTTAGCTAGGGTAATATTCCTTTAGTCTTCTGCCCTAAACTTCTGCACCTTCAATCCAGTCATATATTAGAGGTATAAGGATAAATAGCATCAAATACAGGTCCTTTCCTTCTGCTTTCCCATTCTTTCAAACATACTTGGTCTCTAAAATTCAGATACTTAATCTGTTCATTTATACATACTCAGAAACTATAATTACAGCATACAATATAAATGGAAGTATAATGGACTGCCACTAAATTACTTGGTCTAAATTTGGTGCCCCATGTATGTATGTGTGTGTATATATATATATATATATGCGTGTGCGTGTGTGTGTGTGTGTGTGTGTGTGTGTATTTTTTTAATTTTATTTGTCAGTCATGGGGCTTGAACTCTGGGCTTGGGAGCTGTCCCTGTGCTCTTAAGCTCAAGGCAAGCACTCTACCACTTGAGTCACAGTGCCACTTCTGGTTTTCTAGTGTTTTATTGGCAATAAGACTTTTCCTGCCCAGGCTGGCTTTAACCATGATCCTCTCAGATCTCAACCTCCTGAGTAGCTAGGATTACAGGCATGAGCCACCAGCACCCGGCTATACCTCATGTATATTAAGGAGGCACATATATAGTACTAAAATACTACATAAATCATGTTTCTGGTCAAGAAATATAACAATTATTTTGCATTCTTCCCTCTCTTCCCTATGAGCCTCCTTTTGAAAATAATTTCGGTGCTGGGGGTGTAGTTTGGTGGTAGAACATCTGCTGAACAGGCACAATACCCTGGATTTTATTCCCTGCTCCACAAAAACAAAAAAATTCAATAATTTGTTTTCTAAAATGCAAAATTTCAAAGCTAATATAAAAAGTAAACAAAACTATACATCATCTTTATAATAACAATAAAAAGAAATTAATTTTAAAATTTTTCAGGTGATTATTTCAAAGAAACACATAAAAAGCCTGTAATTACAAATATGCAGCCAACTCATTATATAAATGTAGTTTTTATTATTCTATTGTATTTTATATTAATGATTACCATTGTAAAAACTATTGATTTCTGTACACTTGCTAGTGCAGTGGTGTTAAAAAGTTTAATGAAATCAGACTTTTCAAGTTTATATGTACTCCAGGAAAACCAAGTGGAATTTTGTGAACTCATTACTAGTTTACTTGTTCCTGTTTTACAATGCCCTTCCCCTTCCACTGAAGACTTCAATTCACTTCTGAAAACCCTGCTCCTTGGCTAGTCATCTCTATGAATCACTGTCTGAACTGAACTTAATCATTCCCTCTTCTGTAAAACAATTTCCACACTTTGTATTTAATTACTTCTATTATTAAATGGGCTTTATTAACATTATCTCTTTATTGTTGTGCCTGGCCCCTAGGGTTCTAATTTCAAGACGATGAACAGGGCTTCTTCTTTCTATACCTCACAAAATACTCCAGGATTTGACACATAAAGATAAATTTATCAAAGTTAGTTGTGGTTTTGAGATGTGATATTCTCCAGGTACATAGATAACTATGCACTGCACATGTATTCTAGGAGGAGAAAAACAAAAATGTAAAGTGTACCACAGATCAATCTCTATTCCCATATTATCAATGTAGATTAACAATAATTATTAACAGTTCAAAGCTGTTTATCCTAAGTGACATTCTACCAACCATCAACATAACTACTTTTGTTTAGATAGCAAATTTATGTATGTATTATGAAATTTATGTATAAATTTTAAAGTGCTGATTTAGACCACGAGTACTGGCACATGCCAGTAATCTCAGCTACCTGTGAGGCAGAGGCAGGAGATGGTACTGAGCTATCCCAGAAAGTTATAGAAACCTTCTCTCAAAATCAAAATAAAAACAGGGCTGGGAAGGTGGCTCAGTGGTAGAGTGCTTGCCTTGCTTTCATGAGGCCCTGGGTTCGATTCCTCAGCATCACATAAGCAAAAAAGAAAAAAGCCGGAAGTAGCGCTGTGGCTCAAGTGGGAGAGCACTAGCCTTGAGCTGAAGAGCTGAGGGACAGTGCCCAGGCCCAGAGTTCAGGCCCCATGACCGGAACAAAAACAATAAAAAATAAAAAAAAAAATAAAATAAAAACAAAAAATGTTGAAGGTATAGCTCAAGTGGTAGAGCACTTGTTAAGGCCCTATATTCAATCCCTAGTGCCAAAAAAAAAAGAGAGAGAGAGAGAGAAAGAAAAATGACGTAAAAGAATAAGAGTGCATGGCATACTTAAATTGATGGTTTCTAAAAAGTAATGGACTAAACCACATGCAGGACTTCTAATTGATTGGTTCTTTTGATTTCTATCAAAGACCACCACCATTATGGCTTCCTCCCCCACCTAGATTACCTCACTGAAGACAGGATAGATCTCAGTCAAGGGGACCACAATAATAAATATATATTAGCCTGAAAAAAATTAGTACAATGTAAATGCCAATAGGTGAGGTACTGGATCTCACTACAAAGCCTACACTGGCCTTGAATTCTCTAGCAGTCCAGAATGGCCTCAAACTCAAAATCCTCCTGCCTCAGCATCCAGAATGAGACTTCAAGCATCTGCAACCATATCTAGTGGTGCCTTTTTGAAGTGTAATCAGATGTTTTTTAATAAACTGAGAAGTTGGAGTCATATGTAGATTCAGTTGTGGAGCTCTTGCACTGTATATGCAAAGCTTGGGTTCAAATCCCCATGCAGTATAAAAAAAACTAAAAGCATAAAATGAAATGGCACTCATTATCACTGATTTACCATTTATTGAACAAAAAATTATTTTCTGTTCTATTCCTCAAATAACACAACTGACCAGAATCTTTCACTGTATTCTTAAAAATGAAGGTTCCAGACAGGCATTGTTGGCTCTTGCCTATAATCCTAGCTACTCAAGAGGATTGTGGTTTGAAGCCAGCCTAGGAAGTAAATTCTGTGAAATTCTTATTTCCAATTAACCACCAAAAACCTGGAAGCGGGGCTGGGAAGGTGGCTCAGTGGTAGAGCGCTTGCCTTGCATGCATGAGGCCCTGGGTTCAATTCCTCAGCACCACATAAGCAAAAAGAAAAAAGCCGGAAGTGGCGTTGTGGCTCAAGCGGTAGAGCGCTAGCCTTGAGCTGAAGAGCTGAGGGACAGCGCCCAGGCCCAGAGTTCAGGCCCCACAACCAGACCCAAAAAAAAAAAAAAAAAGAATAAAAAAAAAAATAGAATACAAAAACCTGGAAGCGAAGCTGCAGCTTAAATAGTAGAGTGCTAGCCTTGAGCAAAAAAGCTTAGGGACAGTGCCCGGGCCAAGTTCAAGCCCAAGGAACAGCACAAAAAAGCCAAACACACAGACACACACAAACCACTTAGAAATCAACTAAGGATTACAACTTACAGTGGGCAGTATATACTAAAACTTTACTTGCAATATATTCACTGAAAACACTGTGAACTTAATGGCATGCCCAATCTCCATTTTTTCCACATATTATTCTCTTATTTCTGTGGGTTGAAAAAGCTAAACAAAATTAACAAACAGGTACTAACAGGATTCTCTCATGAACAAAGGAAATTAATTTTTGCATAAAACTGTCATTTTACTCTGTAGTGCTAGAAGTTACCAGATTAGTATTATATAGGTAAAAGACCTTTGATGACAAGGTGATCTCAAGAATATCTCAAGACAGAGGCTTATAATCCTAGCTACTTAGGGAGTGGAGATCTGAAAAATCAAAGTTTGACCAGTCCTAGCAGGAAAGGCTATCCTGGATACTCTACCTCCAAAATAACCAACAAAAAGTGAATGGGGCTGGGTGCAGGTGGCTCAAGCCTGTAATCCTAACTACTGAGAAGGCTCAGATCTGAGGATCATGTTTCAAAGCCAGCCCAGGCAGGAAAGTCTGTGAGACTCTTTTCTCCAATTAACCACCAGAAAACTGAAGTGCCACTGTGGCTCAAGTGGCGGAGTGCTAGCCTTGAGCTGAAGAGATCCCGGTCAGCGCCGTGGCCCAGAGCTCAAGCCCCAAGACCAACAGCAACAACAAAAAGTGAATGGGACTGGAAGAGTGGCTCAAATGGTGGGAGCCAGCCATGAAAGGCTTTGAATTCAATCCCTTCTACGGGAAATAACAAAAATTTGTTTCATTAAATAGAATTTGGCTACTTGACAATTTTAGTGGCAGAGCTTGTTGAGGAAATATATATATATATATTTCCCTAACTTTCACATACAATATTTTACTTCGTTATGAGGTTTCTGAAATATTTGTATGTCTACAAGTCAAATTTATTAACAAAATAATTCTGGTTACAGTCACAAGCCATTTCCTATAAAAACTTACCTTAATGAATGGTGTAGGAAAAAAAAAAAAAAGCCACTCACTGTCTTTCAGGATGGTGGTGGCTCATGCCTACTCAGAGGGCTGAGAGCTGAGGATCAAGGTTCAAAAAACCAGCCCGGGAGAGACAAGTTTCTGAGACTCTTACCTCCAAAAAGCTCGAAATGAGGCTGTAGAGCTCAAGTGGTCGAGCACCAGCACTGAGAGAAAAAGCTAAGGGATATAGCAACCCGGGCCCTGAATTCAAGGCCCGGTACAAACACACAACGCACACTGTATGAAGATATATGGATCTACGTATAAATGAAAGATATGTATACGTGAAACATGTGTCTATACACACACATGCATGGCCTGGGGGAGAAGAAAAACCTAGTTCCGAATGTTTTAAGTGAGGAGGCATGACTGCCCAATATTTACAGCACTCTACGTGTTTGAGATCACAACAGTTTACAAGACCGTTCCACGGAACAACAGCAGGCAAAGGAAGCGGTGCGCGCCGGCCCCGCCGTGGCGGGCGGCGGGCAGAGGGGTCCCGCGGCAGAGTCCGGGCGCATACCTCATTGAGGAACCAACGCCAAGCCTCACCCTGCGGCTGCTCTGCCCAAACTTCTCAGCAAACTATCTGGAGAAGAGCCGGGGACCGCGGCGTCCCACTCCCGGGCGGAGAAGCGCCCTCGCCACCTGCAAGGCAGCAAACAACGCGTCAGAAATTCCCAGCGCTCTAGAAATTTCCAAGCGCCCGGCGGTGGCGGTGGCGGTGGCGGAGGCGGCGCTGGCACCTGTCACCGGGCGGCCGGGGGGGGGGGCCCCCCGCGGGGTCTCGGGAGGCGCCCGGGCCTGAGGTCGGGCGCGGGTCCCTCCCTGCCGCCCCCAGAGGCCGCGGCCCTTTCTGAGGAGCCGCTCCGGCCGGCTGGGGCCGTCGCTTCAGGCCGAGTGGCCGCTATCCGAGGCCCGGGGGACGGCGGGGAGCACGACCGAGTGGCCGCGGCCGGGCTGAGGGCCGCGAGAGCCGAGCCCCCGTGAGGTGGGCCCGCCTCCGCGACTCACCGGGCCTCCCGGCCGCGGGCTCGGCTCTCCTCAGCGCTCCGTCTCCCCCGCCACCGCTGCCAGGCGCTGCACTGGGCGTTGGGACGGGTCTGGGTCAAGGGTCGGGGGTGGGGGGTGGGGCGAGGCGGGCTCGTGGGGTCCGGGGTCGCGCGGCGGGTCGCGGGCGGGCAGCGGGCACTAACGGGCCGAAGCGACGGACGGCGAGGAGTGCGGCCGCGGGCTGCGGCGAGGGGCGGGGAGCGAGCGGTGGGCGGGAGGCCGCCGGCGGGGGCGGCGGCGGCGGGGGCGGGGCCGGGGGCGGGGCCTGGCGCAGCAGCCGCGCGCGCGCGCGCCGAGGAGGTTTGTTTATTTTCCCGGTGGGTTTTGACGGCAGCGCTGAGGAGAGGTCCGCAGGTGACGTGAGCGCCCCGACCTGAGGGGGGGGGTGTCGGGGGGGGGGGGGGGTAGAGGAGCGAGAGGACCAGAACCACCTGCTGGAGAAGAGGAGCTACGGGGGCCGGGCAGGGTCCAAACATTTTCCGTAGGCGGCTGCGAGGCGGACCTGGGGGTCACAGGGAAGACAAGGGCTCTTTCAAAGGGGGAGAACAGGGCTGCAAAGCCACCCCCCCCCCCACACAAGCCCCGAGCTGCTCAAGGCAGTCACCTGCCAGTGAGGAGGCCGGGGAAGTGGATGGGATTGTGGGACTCTAGCAGCCTGGGTTCCCAGCAACTCAGGGATGACCTCCCTTGGAGCACAGGGATGCTCTAAGTTAAGACTGGAGTAGCCAGACCGCAACCGATCTCGCCGGGGGAAATGATGACTCCCGTTCTCTGTAAGCCGAGCTTTCCAGTTGACCCCCAATCAATCAGGTAATTTTGGTGCAGTCATGCAAACCAAATTTCAGTGACTTACCCTTTCCCGAAACCTCATAGGTAATGACAGCTATTGGCAGAGTTGGAACCCAGAACTGGAACTGGCTCCAATTCTGATTCCACTGTGACATGATCGTCGCAAATCACTTTGACACACACACTAGGCTTCCTTTTACCCATGGGTAAGATGCTATAGGGTTGCAGAGGGGAGTTGAAGATGTTATCTTTGCCCTAAAAGAGTAAGGAATAAGAGAAAGATTAAATAGTTATAAGAGACAAACCATATTAGGTGCCATATGAATAATACAAGGAGTGCTGTGAGGGTCAAAACACTCAGCATCTGTCTGGGCTGGGGGTGGGGAGTGTCAGGGCCCAGGGATGTTAGGAATTGGCCTTGAAGGAGGTTGGGGAGGATTCTTTAGCTAATGCATGGAAACTTGCATGAAAACCAATGAAAAATGCGTTCTAGAAAGTGCAGTACTCTACAGTATGTTGAAAAAATGGTGAAGGCAAAGGGCAGATGCCAAGTAGGTGAATTTGTATTCCATCTTTGAGTTATCCTGGTTTAAAATTTTGAAGGGGGAAAAGGGAAGGGTTTTTCTTTGTAACTACTGATCTCTCTGTGGAGAGATGCAGAAATTAAAGGTGGAAAAACTGAGCCCTACGTAGGCCAGTTAGAACATAATGGTGAAAGTACTTGGGTGGAGTGGCACAGTACTGGATTCACACTTGGGAGGATGTGTGAGGAGGATACAGGTTCAAGGCCAGTGGCTAAATACTGGGGCCCTTTATAAAATTTTTAAAAAGGAAAGGTAAAAAAGAGAAATAGAAAAGGTAGTAAGGACTCAGCTAAAGGGAAGGCAGGAAGATTTTAAAAGACCATAGTTGAGAGATGGTGTGGAAGCAGAATCCACATAACTACTGACTAATTGGATTAGGGAGAGAGAAATCAAGGATAGCCGAAGTTTTGTGTTTGGAGATAATGCTAAGAGACTATAATTTCCTTTCTCTGTGTCAGAGAAAGGAAAAGAAGCTTCTTTTTGAGAGGTGGTCAGCTTAGATTTGGATATTTTAAAGAGTTTGAAGGGGTTTCAAGGTATCCACATAGAGGTGGACACTAAGAAGTTAGAAATAAAGGTTCTGAAATACCTGAAAGAAGGCTGAACTAGAAAATAGATTGCAAAGTAATCAGTCTAGCCATGGTATCACTGTGAAAGAAAAGGCCAGATTTTGGGAAAACATCTTCAGAGGATTGCTATCCAAAGTGGGGTTAATAGTCCAGCCACATTACTGTCACTAAGGGAGTTTGTTTGAAACTATCAGGCCCCAAACCAGATGTGCCAAATCAGAATCTTCAATTTAACAAGAACCCCAAGAAGTTTGTACCACATCAAAGTTTGTGAAACCCTGATCTAAATGAGAGAAACCAACAGAGTAGAGGGAGTGGGAAGAGAGAGTCGGGGAAGGGGAGAAAGTGATACAGAATCATCAAAGCAGGGTAGATTGGGGTTTCACAAAAGCTAGGCAGGAAGAAGTATTATCAACAATATCCCAAACTAAACAAACTGAAAAGCACAAGGAAAAAATATGATTGCACTGTGGGATGAGGTAGTTATTATAGTCATATTCTAATTAAAAGCATAGAAATTTCCACTTTGATTAGAGACTACCTAGAGATCCTGCCCTTGTAATACCTAAATATATGCATGTATTAAAGTAAAGCCAAGTTGAGCATAGTAGCTCACACCTGTAATTCTAGCTGGTCAGGATGCTGAAATCTGAGGATCGCAGTTCAAAACTAGTCCATGCAGGTAAGGCTGTGAGATTCTTATCTCCAATTAACCCCCAAAGGCTAAGGGACAATGCTCAGGACCAGAGTTCAAGCCAGTGCCAACACACACACACACACACACACACACACACACACACACAAAATGTAAATACATAGTTCTTTTATACTTTTATTTTCTTAATGAAGTAGGGAACAAGGGTATATTGGCAGATGGCTAATTATTCACCAGTTTTTATTTCTCCTTCTCTGAATGCAACCTTTTAGACAGTGTGATCAAGTAGGAGCAAGAATTGTGGCTGCCACTGCAAGGTCAAGGCCTTCACAGTACACATGCCTCCTTCACGTGTGTGTTTCCTCTCTGCAGGCTAGACCTGGACATGAGCCTTTCTTTTGATTATGCAGATTACTATAAGTCCCTGAGGAGTGGCAGAGCCACAGAAAGAAGTTGCCTGTTCCTGCATGAGAGGAGAGCTGCCCACTGACCTGGAACAACCAATTCTGTGAGTGACATGTAAACCTCTGTTGAGTTAGAGCCTTAGCATTCTGAAGTCTCTTTGTCATAGCTTTTTAGTCAGTTAACATAGTCATTAACTGAAAGTAATGGAGGGATAGGCAAGAGAGTCTACATGTGTCTGAGTTAAGGAGAGCCAACTAACTAGGCAACATCATAAGGTTTCCAGAAACTACTAAGGAACTCCTACAGTGAATGGTCATGGATTTACACTGAGACCACTCAGCTGCTTGTGCATTTTTTTCTCCAGCTGATGGGCAGGCAATGAGTAGGCAGTTGTAACACTAATTAGGCAAACCTGTTGTAAAGAGTCAGGTATGTAGTTGCATGCCTATATTCTCAGCACCTGGGAAGCTAAAAGAAGATTGTGAGTTCAGTCAATCTTGGCTACATACCAAGACACTGTGACAGACAAGATAGACAGGCAGGGCTGGGAAGGTGGCTCAGTGGTAGAGCAAGCTTGCCTTGATGCATGAGGCCCTGGGTTCGATTCCTCAGCACCACATAAGCAGAAAAAAAGCCAGAAGTGGTGTTATGGCTCAAGTGGTAGCGTGCTAGCCTTGAGCTGAAGAGCTGAGGGACAGCGTCCAGGCCCAGAGTTCAGGCCCCACGACTGGACCCCCCCCCCCCCAAAAAAAAAGATAGACAAAAAAAAGTTTTCCATAAGTTAACAGTAAATAAGGATTGATTAAAGACTTGGCAAATTGAAAATACTAAGATTTGTCATTAGCTTGGAAAATATACCATGTTACACACACAAGCTTGAAGGCTCTGAAGTCAGACTGCTGGGATTGAAGCATAGCATCTCCCTTCATAGGTGGTTATGAAGATAATACATTCTCTATAGTATACTCTATGTAAGTATTTGAAATATTGCCCAGCACAGTGAAGTACTAGGTTAGATTTAGGTATAGTTGATTTTTGTTTGGGGTGATATTTTGGAGAAGTTGATGATACTAGCTTTGAACACAGGGTCTCAAACTTGATAGACAGGTGCTCTACCACTTGAGCTATACACCAGTCTTTTTTTCATAATCCAATTATCTGTTAATGATTAGTTCTACCAAGCTTTAAGACTAAACCCTTCCAAGTCAGGTGCTGGTGGTTCACACCTATAATCCGACTCAGGAGGCTGAGATAATGGTTCAAAGCCAGCCCAGAGAGGAAACCCTATGAGGCTCTTATCTCCAATTAAGTACCAAAAAAGTAGAAGTGCAGCTGTGGCTCAAGTAGTAGAACACTACCCTTGAGAAAAAAATCTCAGGGACAGTGCCCAGGCCCTGAGTTTAAATCCCAAGACTGGCACACAAAAATAAATAAAATGAAGACTAAGCCTTCTCCTGAGGGACTGGGGGTCATGCTTGTGATCCTAGCTACTCAAGAAGCTCAGATCTGAGGATCATAGTTTGAAACCAGCTCAGGCAAGAAAGTCAATGAGATCCTTATTTCCAATTAACCAGTAAAAAAGCCAGAAGTGGAGGTATGCCATAAGTGTTAGGAAGTCAGCCTGAGCAGAAAAGCTGACAGCATGAACCATTAAATTCAAGTTTAATACTAGCAGGCATGTGTGCATGCACACAGACAGAGATTAAACCCTCAACACTTGAACCTTTGGGGGATACTTCATATCCTAACCATAATACAGATCGTCATGTGTCCAGTAGTTAGTCATATCATTAATGGCCACTTTTGTGAAATGTCAGTCCATGTGTCTCACCCAGTTTTTTTTAAAATCAGGTTGTTTAACTGTTTTTTGTCTTGGTTTATAGGAGTTCCTCATATTTTAAGGATATTTACTCATTCCTTATAATATATATTACAAATATTTTTTCTTGTGAATACTTTACCTTCCTTGTTTTATAATTCATATATACAATTTTAATTTTTATATAATGGATAGTTTTTCATTTTTGTTTTGAGCTAA